GGTTTCCTTCCAAGATGGCTGCCAGGTAGTACCACCTCTCAGAAGGTTGGATACTATCTGGTTACTCTAATGTGAATCAGAAATGCAAATTGACAACGTTCATACACATTTCATTAGGAATCCGGTGAAGCACCTCTTTCAATTTAAAGCTCTTTTTAATGTCCATCCCAGGTATAAAAACTTGGACAACAGGACGGAAATCCTCAAACCTCCCCGCCATCATTTTCAGACATGCGTACTTGCAGAAGGGATGGACCAGTCATCCTTATTCTGCTACTGAACTGAAAGGCAAACTTCAGGGGAGGGTCCACTGGTTTAAAGAGACAAATCAACGACTGAAAGAGACTTGGGGATGCAGGTCTGGGCGCATTAAGCTTGGTGAAAACTGTGCTTTTAAGCCACAAAACACAGGAAATGCGCTATACACCATCTTCGACAGATATGGTCCTTTAAGGTTTACAGCCATCCCGAGGAGCAGGGGCGAGATGGACAGGTGGTCCCCCAAGCCTGCAGAAGGAGAAACTGAGGTTCGGCAGTCCGTGGCCCACATGCCCAGGACTGGGCTCGGGGTTCCTGACCCACCGCGTGCAAACCAGGCCGGCTCACTTACCTCGCCCGCTGTGTTGGCCAAAGCAATGAGATCCCGCTTGGGCGACCAGACCAGGAAAATGATCTCCTGCGGCAGCTGCTTCTCGCCCACCACCCGGAAGGACGGGAAACAGGTCGGAAAACGCAACATGGGGACAGCCCTGCAACGAAACCCCCGACGGAGACCGGCGGAAACCCAGCGTCACCAGCCTTGGGCAAAGAGCCCTACCCACGGCGGTGCCGCTGCCCACGCGTCCCGGGTGGCCTTGCCTCTCCCTCTGCCGGCCGCGCGCAGCAGCCTCGGGACCGCCCAGCCCCGCCCCGCCGCGCGCTCCGGGAACTTCCGGCGCCGGCGCCCAGGCGTCCTCGCGAGAGGAAGGGGGCAGCGTGGGGACGCGCGGGCTGGGCGGAGCCTGCGGGGGCGTGGTGACGATGTGGGCGTGGCGAGGACAACGCTGGGGCGGGGCAGCGCAGGAACGGGCGGGCCATGTGGGTTGGATCCACGTATCCGCGCGAGCGCTAGGCGCCCAGACAAGGATGGGAGGGGCTCGTCCCGGGGGCGGTAAGCCAGTGTTTGGGGAAAGTGTCTCCGTGCATTTGTGGGTACGTTTGCAAGTCTTCTCCGTTTTTCCGGAAATTCATTGCTGGAGGCAAGGGCCTGTCAGAGGCTTTAGGGGTGAGGCCTCGGAGACAGTGTAAACTTTAGGTCCTCATCCGCTGGAGTTCCCCTGACTGTCACTTGATAGTTCTCAGCCCTGGTTGCTTAGCACAGTTTTTAAAAGTTCCTCTTGTCCGGACAGCATCCCAAACTAATTAAAAGAGAATTAATGCCGGATGGTTTCTAGTATTTATTAAAACTCTTTAATTCAGCTTTTCAGCCAAGGTTAGGTGGGGGTACTGCTTAAAAGCTGTGACATGGGCAAATAATACTTTGATTCTTCATCCCATTTAGATGTGCAGCTCGTAACATTGGTAGTAACAGCCCCGCCATAATAAAGGACTAGGCTCTCACATCTTTAACCCCATAGCTAAGCACTATGTGACAGAATGTGAGCCACAGAAATGCACGTGGTGGGTTTCACCCCAGAAGGCTCCCAGCCTGGCAGGTAACATGTAAATCAGAACCCATCCGATGCTACTTTATAAAACCCATCAATCTTTCTGGAATTTTTTGTTTGGCTGGGTTTTTTTTACAGTGTCTCACTATGAAGCAGTCTGGCCTCTATCTTTTCAATCCTGTCACAGCCTCCTGAATGTAGGCACCATAATATGTTCTATAGAAATTGAATGCTTCTTTCCTGGAACCGACTCCAAATATGAACGTCCATACAACACATGAAAATGGCTGTTTATAGAGGTGCCAATCATCTGCCAATCAACCTAGCGCTACAGAAGGACAGAAGAGTATGACTGCCTAAACATTATCCTTCAGGAAGAGTATGAATTTCTAGGGGGCATTACAGCACAGGAAACAGCACAGATGTGGAAGGCCAGATGTGGGTGGGAACAGCAGTCTTAGGTGGCAATAGCTCATGTGTTGGTAGGGTGTGGGGAGACAGAGATTGTTAATGATAACCCAAAGTAGGCATGGACAAGAGCTATTAACACATAGTGTCTCCAGCCATTTTTTTTTCCATCTGACACATATTTTTACCTGTACCCACTGTTTCTTTACCTTCCCCATACTGATGAAGACACTGCTTTATCAAACTGGCTTATTTGTGTTTTTATGGCACCGAATCAAGGAAATGAGACCGAAGAATCCAGTGCCATACTTTTGAAGGAGGAAAGAGCAATAAATATATATATGAAATGAGCAAAACAGACTCTAATTCCATACTCTGCATATTCTCTTCCTATATTTGGGGGGAAATGCAAGAACTACCTTTCTAGAAATAGCATTTAGTTCTGGGGCTCCAGGCTGCTTGGGGTTCCGGGGCTGATTCTTTACCACACATCTCTTGGACTAGCTCGTGCCAGTCCTCTTCCACACTAGAATAGTATGGAGCTGGATTGTGAAGGGCCATGCAGCTGCCAAGAGATTGGGAGGAAAGGGAGCATGTGACAACACCTTACTGGTTATTTAGGACCTTAATTCTTTTTTTTTTTTTTTTTTTGCAAATACTGGGGTTTGAATTCAAGGTCTTCACCTTGAGCCACTCCACCAGCCCTATTTTTGTGATGGGTTTTTTTGAGATAGGGTCTCATGAACTATTTGCTACAAACCACAATCTTCCTGCTCTCTGCCTTCTGAGTAGCTAGGATTATAAGTGTGAGCCACTGGTGTGCCTGGCTTGGGACCCTAATTCTTATGACAAGGGCAATGAGTTAGAAAGGAAGAGACTGGTGATGTAAAGATAGCAGGAAGACTAATTAAAGTGGTGGTGGGGCAATATTCCAAAAACACTCTTAGGTAGAACAAGTACTGATTGTTGATTAGATTGGGGGAATGGCAAAGGAGAGGAATAGTTAAAACTTTGAAGTTGGATGGGGGCTGGAGGAAGGTAGTTGGGAAAGGAAGGGAAAGAAAGTAGACCAGAGCAAAGGAGTTCAGTGAGGATTATTTAGGTGGAGGTGTGACATAAACATTCGTGATGGCCAACAGCAGCTAGAAAGGCAGGCTGAGGGGGAAAAGTTAGGTCCTGAGCAAACACTTGGGATCCCCAGGTCCCAGGATGGCAGGAGTTGTGTGGAATGGGACTAATCCAGGCCACTGTGAAAGGTCTGAAGTCATAAGATAGGTAAATCATATAGTAAGAAAACCATGAATTTGGAAAGAGAAATGTGATAGCTGATACTAGAACCTCTCTGCTATACCATAGTAGCATTCATTTTGCACAACCTGGCTCAACCAGCACAAGTGGGCCTGAAGACATAGCTCTAAAAATGCAGCAGTAGGGAGATTTCAGAGTGGGCTGGCTCCCCACACAGCCACTGGAAGACTCCAAGCTTAGCACTGTGCTCCCCCATTCCTCCCCTTCAGCCAGGAGCCAAAGTGCTGAGCCTCACTGTGATCAGATTCACCCTGTCAAAAGCACAACCAGAAATCAATCACTGGTAAGGGCAACAAAATTATGTGGATTGGTTTAGCCTGATTCAAAATCCTCCCCAAGAGCTAGAGCAGGTGTCCCAACCCTCCCCCATGTCCCAGAGTAGGCCACCCATAGGGCAGCAAATGCTGCTGCAAAGGCAATCATTGTTCTCTGTGACACCAGACGCAATTCCCTGGGGGCAGTCTAGAGTATGAAGTCAATCCTACAAGATGGGAGGTGTCCTGTCTTGGTAGACTGGGTCTAGATTGTATAAACTTGTATGTTTTGTTTCTGTTTGATTTTTGGTACTGAGGGTCTCCCACTTTCTAGGTAGGCGTTCTACCCCTTGAGCCATGCCCTCAGCCCCAATTTATGATATTTTTCTTTTGTCTCCCACAACCACTGCAGTTGTTGTTCTTGGAAAGAAATTCAGAGATTATCTCATATGATTCTAATCTGAAGAAAAAAGTCCTAATAAGAGCTATAGAACCAGTATTTGTGTGTATGGGAAATATGCTGTTATTATATATGAAGTGTATTAACAGCACACACATGGTTAATAATTACATGTTATTATTAGGCAACACTTATCCTAAAGCAGTTAGAAAAGGCTTGTTTATAGGCCTGTTTCAGAGAGTTGTTCACAATAGTGAAAAAATGCAAACTGAGATGTCCAACCATAAAAGATTATTTTTAAGATAAGGCATATCCATACTGAAGAATAAAAACATTTTTATAAATACAAGTTTATGTTCACTGCTTATTTGTATGTGTCACAAAGCAGCATTTACAATCCCATTTTTGTGGGGGAAATTTTAGTGTGTTTGTCTTTATACCTTTTTTATGCAAGAACCTATCTTTGGAAGAACAGGGAAACATTAATGGGTTATCTCTGTGTGGTAGGATTAGAATTTGATTTTCTCTGCTTACCTGACTCACATATTAAGATAAGCAGCCATCTTTGTTTTCTTTTGTCTTCATTAAGTGCAGAACGTTTGGGCTGACTGCCTTTCATTTTTTTCCTCCCATTCCTGGTCTTGCCATTTACAGATGAAGAGATTGGCCCACTTTCCCAGGTTCAGTCCCCCGCCCCAAGGGGTTCCCCTGTGTAGCCCAGGCTGCCCTCAAATTCATAATCCTCCTGCCTCAGTTTCTCAAACAGCTGGGATTACTGGCATGTGCCATATCCAGCTTCAGATTTAGTTTCTTGAGCTCACCTGCTGTTACCCTAAACACTTTTGAGAATCGTGGGATGGTCCAGCTAAGTGGTTAAACTCACCTCTTTGAGCTCTGAGGCTTTCTTGCCCACTTCTGGTGCTATTTTCCCCAATCTGCTGAGTTAACATTTATACTAAAATGCCTGAAATCAAACAGTAGCAAGCTTATCTTCACTCTTTTGCACTGACCTTCTTAGCTAACCCTCAAGTAATTTAACCCATGTCCTAATGTTCCAATTAAAATCACATCAAATAAGTGAAATTGGATTTTCTTGGCATTTAGTGAGTTTTCCTTACCTAAGTGGCTCTAAGTGTGTTTGCATCTTACATGGCACAGTCAGGCCTCTGAGGAAAAAGCAGTCTATTAAATGGCATTTTCATTCACTGAACTAGGATTTATGAGCACCGACTACCAGGACAGCATGTTGTTCTGGCCACCTGCTTCCCATCACCAAACCACATGTGATGCAGATGCAGATGGGAGTCTCAGATACTACATGTATGAGGCAAGGTTCTAGGAGCTCCAGTGACCAACCCTATGACAACAGACTGCCATCAATAAGCTTCTAATCTGAACAGAGGTAAACGAGTACAAGCAGCCACTCTAATAGAGGGCAGAATTTAAGTACCCTAAAAGTATAAAATGAAAGCACACAAACACACACCCATTTTTTATTCCACTGGAGGGACTGATAATATTGTGAAGAAGGTGGCAGCAAACTAGGACCCTTTTTAGGATCCAGAATTTGAGGCTAGCCTGGGCTATGAAGTGAGATCCTGTCTCACAAAAGCAAAGACAAACAACTTCCCTCCCCACCAAAGAAAACACAACATACTTTAAAAGACAATGAAGTGAAAGAGCAAGTCATAATTCTAAATGATGTCTCATTCATCCATTTAAGTGATACTACACCATCAAAGGACAACAGCAAAACGCACTGGAAAATACACATCTAATAATAATATAGTTATAATTATAACCTCTGTATCTTTACATGCCTTTGTAAAAATTCTTTCCCTTATCTTCAAATTCAATCTAAAAATAATTGTACATCACACTTTTCTTTGAAAGAGGGGTTTAAACCATTGTTTGGTATCTAACCAAAGACTCTCATATTAAAATAACATAAAAATTCAATGTAAGCAAAACTTAACAGGTTTTCACTTTCATTTTCTTCTGATATCTTCAAAAGAATGCTGTATACCCATTTTTCGGACAAAAGAGGCCAATATAATAAGATTGGGAGAGAGTTAAAGAGGGGAAAAGCATGCAACGAGAAGAAGGAAAACAGCTGAGAATGGAAAACTCCCCAGGTCTCCAGAGAAGCAGATGAGGGGACTGTATAAGCCAGAAAATGCCACCTGCCTGTTATCATGCTTAGAAAGGTGCTACCTTTGAAAGTGACTGAATTTAAGTGCAGTGTGGCACTGCAGAAAATGGCATCAAAGGTTGGACTATAAATCTTTCTTATTCTCAAGTCACTGGACATTTAAGAGCAGAGATATTGATGGGCTCTTTCCTTCCTCTTTTTCCTCCTTGTAACAGATGTATGATTCATGGATTGTCCTTTAGTGGTCTCCATTTTCATCTTATTACTTTTTCTTTGCTTCTGCTTTCTGACAGCTCTGAAAAACAAGGTTCTAAATTATTTTGTAGAATGGGCATGGTGAATTATGTAATTATGTTGAAGTTTAATTAACCAGCTAACCAAAAGAAAATAGAAGAAGGGAAAGAATTTGCTGTATTGTAAACATAAATCTCCAGTATCCTGACCATAACAAGGAAATAGTAAGAGGCGTGATCAAGCAAAGTGTCTCAAAAAAGATATTTTCTTTAAAAGATGGGTACTACAGATTTAGAACAAGCTATTCAGGACAAACCCATCACAGAGGTAAGCAGCCACACCAATGAGTATGTTTTCAGCTTTGTTTTTTTGGTACACCCAATACTGCTTGGCTCAGCATTTTGATCTCCAAACCCCTAAATTATATTTTTTAGGAAAGGGATTAACACATGTAGCAATTTGCAGGGTAGAAAAATGAATGGCACAATGGAACAGTAACTACACTTGTGAGGGCCCACTTTATAAACCCTGCAGCTAATTTTCCTTCTCTCCATAGATCTAAAGGTCCTGACAAGTGCCTCATGGGATGTCCACCTCTGGAGGCTGGAACTCGGCCTCTAAAACCATACCACACCAGACAAAAGAGCTCCTTAGTTTCTGGTGTCCTCAGGTAGTCTGTGGCTGGGAAAGATTACCAGTCCATTTGTTACCTCTCCAAGCTGGCAGGATAATGTCATTATCCTATCAAGAACCAAGCTAGGGGCTGTGCCATCAGCACTGGTGCACCTGAAAACTTTCCTGTCATAATTCACATCAAGCTGGGCCTTTCTTGGTCTTCCTAGGATAAAACCTGGAAACAGAGCTTCACTAACAGAATATAATCCCCTAATGGGTTAAATTTAGGCCTTTTTGTTCACTCAGCATAGTATGTGTCAGGTGTCAGGAATGGAAATAATCTTGGCTCCAAAGAGCTAAAGAGTGAGCAAGGCAGATGTCATTTTTCCCTCAACATTTTTTAAGTGAAGAAATAAGAGGGTCTGAGGTCACTCTGACCACTAAGGGCAGAGCCAACCTGATTCCAGGGCCTGTGCTCTAAGTGACCTTGACAGTGGCACAGTGACTACTGGACTCTAAAGTACTCAGGTAGGGAACACGCTAACCATAGAGTAATCACTTAGTAAATGGTTGCTACTGTAGTTTCACATGACCGCTATGCAGAGCTGTGCTTAACTTTGTGTTTTCCTGTGCTTAGATTTTGCACCATGGACTGGGATGCCTTATCAGCTCCAAATCAAACTCATCTTTATACTGTTTTGTGCATGTTATATAAATCTCTTCTTTCCCCCATCCATTTCTTTAATGTAGGATAATTTCCTGGTAAGTAATGATTTAGCAAATTTAATGAAGTAAACTATAATCTCTAACAGCAAAGTCAATGAAGCCATATGTCCCAGTATACAAAATTTAAATTTCTCTTTGGTTCATCCATTCAGAAGCAGGGCTAAAAAATGAACCTGATTTCACTAGAGGATTCAGTAAGCAAAAACAGAAGGAAAACATTTTAAAATATCCATTTGTTAATGTGAATAGACCAAAAATTTCCAAAGATAGTCTTTGATATGTGATGAACTAATTGAGTATAAATCAATTAACTTTTTTTTGTCTTAAAATTAAATTGACCTAGCAGTTGTCCTCTAAATTATAAGATTTATGTAACTGATAGAATGAACTTTCACCACAAGAGGGAGCCAACATAATTCCAGTTCAAAATGAACATCAAGGAAAAACAAAATAAAGACAGCTGTAAAAAAGCAGAAGCTTGAAAGACTTTATGCCATATATGTGGAAAGGGTCATAAGGATTATTTAATTCTGCCTTATAGATTTCATTATGAAAGTGTTTTGAAAGCAATAACTGTTAAGTTTTGATGTAATACTGTTTAAGAGTTAGCAGGTATAGCACACCGCAAAGGATTTGCCTTGGAACTAAAACTGTTAATAGCTGATAAAGAATGATAACAAATGATTCCCCAATGATAACAGTATGCTACTGCCACAGCTTTTAAGAAGCACTGTTCCCACAGGTCCTAACTCTCAGAACTCTCAGAGCCCAGGGCTGAGCCTGTCACCAAGTCCTGTTTCCACCCGAATCCCACTGTAACGTCCCAGATCAGAAGTGCAACAGGTTGTAGTCTATTTTGAAAATGTCTGGGGAAAAAATTTTGTAGGAGTCCTACTTCCACCTTGGATTACTTAGTGAAAATTTAATGCCAAGTAAGTTTATAAAAGAGGCCATTTCAATAGTAGGCTGGACCTTGACAGAAATAAATTTTTTTTTTTACCATTGGCCAAAAAATAAAAATAAGGAAACAAATGGAAAAGACTGTTAATAAAATCATGGTTCCTAAAGCATCAGATGCTTCTAATACAAACCTGTTTTCTCATCAAAAGTCATGGGATAGCTCAAAAATTTCACCCTAATCTCAACTTTCACCTCATGTTAAATTTGGCTGTCTGGTAATTTCCAAGTAACAACTATGTAATGTTAGGGTTTGAGTTTTGGGTTTGAACTCAGAGCCTCATGCTTGCTAGGCAGGTGCTCTACTACTTGATCAGCACCCCTAGCCCTTTTTTGCTTTAGTTATTTTTCAGACAGGATCTTGAATTTTTGCCTGGGACTGACCTTGGACCATGAGCATCCCACTTGTTGCCTTCCTTGTAGATGGGATTACAGTCATGTACAACCAAGCCCAGCTTGTTTGTTGAGATGGGGAGGTGTCTCACTAACTTTTTTGCCTGGACTGGTTTCAAACCTTGATCCTCCCTATATTTGCCTCTTAATAGCTGGGACTACAGATGTGAGCCACCACACCTGGCCCAAGTTTAAGACAAAGTATAATATTCAAAGTAGCCCAGTTGAAATAGCAATAGTTTTTCCAAATATGACATTGTCATTGGTGTAACTTTGTTCTGAGTTATAATCAATACCAAATATTGGTGGGAGAAGTAAAACTATCTTAGAAAAATAGTAAAAACTAAATATCTGAAATTAAGGATGTCTAAATATTTTCTTGCAATCTGGTATCTTTTAAAAAAATACAATTTCACAACTGATCTGCTATGGAATTACATGCTACATTTGACCTGAAATGCCTTTTCCACTTTTCTGCAATGCTGTGTTATCTGTCCCTCCAAACTTCACTTAAATATCTCGTAAAGCCTCAACTCTCACCCCAAAGTTACCATCTTGCATGAACCATACCAGATGTAAACTCATTCACTTCCCCCCCATACTTTGGCTGACTTCATGTCTGGCCTATACAGCTGTGAGCTTCCAAAAGCAAGTTCTTTGACTCACCTTCATGTCCCCCCTCCCCTCAATACATGCAAACTACAGAACAGTGAAAGTAACAACCTAGCACTTCTGAATCCTCTGAATGCTGCCTGCTTTGCAGATTACTCTGTACAAAGCACACCAGGAAATTTTTTTCTAATGAAAAAACCAATTCAACTAACTTGTTAGTGCTGGCAGAGAGGCGGACGTTAGGACAAGTGCTGCGTTTGTGACCTAATTCAGCACACACAAAGCAGCCATCTTTAGGGCCCTCACAGGAATGATCTGGAACAGCACAGTGACTGCAAATGCCACAGTGGATCCAGGCTGAAAAAAAAAATGAAGTTTTAGAAGAAATTCATTTAGTACACATTTTCATTTTATCATTTTTTAAGATAGGATGCATGGGTGTTACTTCAAATATTGCAGCTGGTTTGCATAGCTAGTTTTGACCTGGCTAAAGAGACCAAGGTAAGGAGGTTGGAATCCCACACCAAACATCTAACTTCCTTCTATTACAGTGCAAAGCATTCAGCCTCTCCTAACAAGTCACCTGTTGCAGCCACTGTCACAACAGAGGTGGCTGAGCGGCACAGTGCCCTATAAGATAAGTCAAATGCCACCCTGAAACAGATTAGCAGTCATCCCTCCCTATCAAAGACAGAACATATATGCTGGTAATTGTAAAGACGGAAAGGCAAATAAGTTAATGCAAGGTCTCTATGCTATTTTTCCTTTTATAAATATAATACAAATTCTATTTAGAGGAAGAAAAACCTCAAAAATGTTTTCATAGGATCTCAAACACCCAGCTCAATACTCACAAGGCTTTACACACTTTCTGCAGAGAAAGCAGTGCTTCCATTTCCTGCCATCCTACAAAAACAATTTAAAAATTATACTTAATTTGTTATTAAAAACCAAGTTCCACAATTAAAAATTAAAATGACTTATTAAAACGGGTGTAAATTATTCATTTCATATTCCTCCTTTTCCTGGGCTTCACAATTAAAACTCTGATTTTAATTTCTGCATCTCCACTTAACTCAAAGCCTCCTTGATGGGCTTCAATTTCCTCAGCTGGGTAACTAGGAGATGTGTCGAATGATCTTGAAGATCCCACTCCAGTTCAAGCAACCCAATCCTCACAAAGAAGGACACAAATCAAAGTTTCAAGAGAATTAATGAGTCATAATTTTATGTGTCTATACTACAATCTTTAATGAAATTCATATCTGAGACCTTTTGTAATTGAGAAAGATAGATTATAGGTTTTTACTTGTGTAATTTCAAAATTGTGAAAGGAAACATATCCATACCTAGAAAAGTGTGTGAGACATGTTAAGTTCAATTTAATGAGCATTATAAAGGAAACACTGATGGAAGCACCAGGTCAAGATGCAGAATAACACCCCGCGTGCCCCTTCTCATCACAGCATTCCTCCTTCCCACTAAGTAACACCTATTCTGGGGTTTTTGTTTGTTTTTTTTTTGATGGACTGGGGTTTGAACTCAGGGCTTTGCATTTGCGGAGCAGGCATTCTATCACTTGAGCTACACCTCCAGTCCATTTTGCCTTGGTTACTTTGGAGATGAGTGTCTTGTGAACTATTTGCCAAGGTGGCCTCGAACTTCAATTCTCCCCATCTCAGCTTCCCAAGGAGCTAGGATTATAGACTTAAGCCAACAGCACCAGGTTACCTATTCTGGCTTTAGTGATGTCATTTCCCTGCTCTTGTTTATTTTTACCACCTATGTGTACATCTCTAAATAATAAAAGTTTGTTTCCTCAATCTAGGATTATAAATATACAGTCAGATGTGATACCATAATTAAAAACCAGTATAGCCAGTAATAAAATTGCATAATTATGAAAAATATACTTACTAATGTTTACATAAGCACAGCTTTTTCTTTGGAGAATAATTTGTACTTAATAGCCAAAATAAACTACACATGCTTTTTCTGACTGGATTCAGTTAAAATAAACAAAGTAACTTTAGAGTCATCCTACCTTCCTAAAAATAAATAGGAAGTTTATTCAGAATTGCCAAAGGTTGGAAGAAACCAAGATGTCCTTCAGGAGGTGAACAGTTAAACTAATCATCTAGATAATGGAATATCATTGACAAGAATGAGCCATGAAGCCATGAAAAGACACCGAGGAACCTTAAATACCTATTACTAAGTGAAAGAAGCCATTCCCAACAGGAGTCAAACATTCTGTACAATTCCAGTCATATGACATTTTGGAAAAGGCAAAACCACAGAAACAGTGAAAAGATCAGAAGCTACCAGAGGTCAGAGGAGAGAGGCGGATGACTAGGAAGAGCACAAAGGGTTTTAGGAGTACAATGAAGCTACTCTGTATGATACTACTGTGTCAGAAGAAGTCATTATACACTCACACAATCCCAAACAATGCACAAGAGCAAGAGTGCATCTGAATGCAAACCCAGACTGTATATTACTGACGCCTCCAAGGAGACCCATCGCCTGCAACAAATGTAAACTCTAAAGGGGAGACTCTAGGACCCAGTGTGGGGGGAGGGCTAGTGAGCATATGGGAAATCTATGTGCCTTCTGCTTAACCTTGCTGCAAATCTAAAGCTATCTTAAAAAATAAAGGCTATTAAGAAAAAAGAATAGGCCCTTGTAGGGAGTAACTGTGCCTACCTCATGAGGCTGTTATGAAAATGAATTCATCCTTGTAAGCTCTTAGGACAGTACGCAGTACATGCTATTACTACATCAGAAGTGATGGAATCTAGTAATTCAATGCCTTATTTGGGGCATCACAATTTTGCCCTTGACATACAAATTTACCACCGTTTTAGTGCCTTATTTGAAACACTCCTAATTTTAGCAGTCATACAATATACCATAGAAATAAATTCAAATAACTGTTGACAACAATGAGAGAATTAAGTACTTTAATAGATGATAATAACTATTAATACAAACAAATGTTAACAAAATAATATTTAAAACCGTAATAAAACTAGTAAGCTAAAATATAACAAATGTAAGTAAAAATGCAATCACATAAGAAAGTTGTACCTTGGATGTGCAAGAATTACAGTGCTCACAGTGTTGATTCTCGAGAGAGACATATCGTTGACACAAAGGGCAAAATCTAAAGGGCAAGAAATGGGAAAGTCAAATGCATGTTTATTGAGACAGAAGAGACAAAACTGAACAAGGGACTTGTTCTAAAAATTGGAGGTAATCAGAATTCAATTCAATATGACAAGATGGAACAAATTTAAAAGCAACAGAAGGACTAAATGATTCAATACCAAGAGCATTTTACCTTTAGGTATCTGAAACTGCCTTTCAGTGACTTTTGAGTTTCAAACTCCTACTATGATCTCACCTGTACCCTTCTTCGGTAGGAAGGACTATTTTGTTGGGTGGAATGTTGGTAAAAATACGCACAGGAGACTGTTTTCGACCTGTCTTTCCATGTTTATAAAGTGCGTGATTATCGTAATCAACCTACAAAGTAAAAAGAAAATGTACTCAAGTAAGTCACCATTTACTAAGCTTTTTTATCCAATAAGCACACACGCCAATGTCAAGATACAGGCTAAGTCAAAGTATTTCATAAGAAATTCTTAAAAGCAGGAGTGCACTTTATCTATCTATCTATTTATTTATTTTTGTGGTACTGGAGTTTGAACTCAGGGTCTCACGCTTGCTAGGCAGGTGCTCTTACAGCTTGAGCCACTCCAAAACCCCAGGAGTGTGCTGACTGACAGCCTCAGAGAGGTCTCTACGGCGGTGAAATTTCATTATAAAAAAACGTAAGATTTGCTATGACACATTCATGCCTCTACTATTAAAGGAACAACTCTAATCATTCTTCCAATCAAACAGACTTTATTAATTATAAGAAAGTCTTACATAACTAAGGATTTGCTTTTGAGATTAAAAACAATGCCTTTGAGGGCCTGGGCTTCCCCTTTTAAAAGGATGTCAAGTTCACTGTTTGCAGGTTTCAGCTCTCCAGGTCAAAGTGCAGCCTCAGTTTGGCTCTCCACTCACTGTCCTCTCATGTTCAGGCAGGGCATAGGTGTAGGGGTCAGACACTGGCCCTGCCACTTACTTGTTTTGTGACTTAGGCAACTTTTTTTAATCTATAAAAGGAGGTTACTACTGAGGCCATGGCTCAAGTGATAGAGTGCCTGCTTAGGAAGAGCAAGGCACTGAGTTCAAACCCAGTACCACTAAAAGCAGGTTACTGATTCTGACCGTCACACTGCCTATATGTGAAACAATTAGAACAGGCCCCGCCTGGGACAGAGATGAGGACAGGGGCTCTCCACTGTACTTGCTGTCCCCACAATGACTTCTAGTCACGGGCTCTCCTCAATACCCCTCATTCCACTTCTCATTTCAGCAGATTATCTTGAAAGGAGACAAGGCTAACAAGCATGGTTTTTCTTTTATTTTCTTTCCTTGAGAAATGATCTCACTATGTAGCCCAGGCTGGCCTCATGATCCTCCTGTCTCAGCCTCTCAAGTGCTGGGATTGCAGGGGCACACCACCATGCCTGGCCCAGCATGATTTCTGTTAACTTCTGGATCCCATCTTCTCCAACCTGTTATCTACACACATTCTCAATTTGATTTAGGTCTCCTGTGAATACACCTGACCCCTAAATTCATCTTTCTTTAGAGCTTCTCAAAGTGGATCAGCGAAATCAACATCACTGGGTTCTTGTTAGAAATACAAATTCTTACCCCACTTAGAACCTAATAAATCAGCCCTCCTGGCACACTCAACTTTGAGAACCACTGTTTCAGATTATCCTCAGGAATACTACGAGTTTTATAAGCTCAAGTACAGGTGGATCCCAACTTTCAAGTAAGGTATAGTGAATGGTTCCAATTCTGAACAAGAATGCACTTAGGATCTTACAACAGAACTGATTTGCAAGCTATTTGCTAAGCAAACCACAAAAACGTAAGGAACCAATGACAAAAGAGAGAGACCTCTGATGGCAGATTCCTAGCTCTCTAAGGCCCTTCTAGTTTGCAAATGCCTACCAGGTTTACAGGTGAACTTTCCGGAAGGCTATTAATAAACTTCAGCAGTGGGAAAAATTAAGTACAAGATGAGGACAACCAAGGGACAATGTGAATCCCACCCCTCCCCAGAGGTTTCCAGCTGACTGCCAGCAGGGTGCGCCCACGGTCTAGCCTGACTGTGAAGCCAGTGCAAACGTGCAGTACCTGACAAGGAAAAGTACCAGGTTAGATCTCGTTTGCAGCCCTGTGCTCAGTCACCACATCTTAAGAGAGCCATTGGTAAACCAGCTCATTTCTACTGAAAATAACAGGCAATGAACAGGATTTATAGTTTAACAAATTTGGGGTGTTTGTTCAGAAAAGAGAAGACTGGGAGGAACCCACCACTATTTTATAACTGGAGGGGTGTCATATGGAATAGAAAAATTAGACTTATCCTTTATTGCCTCAGAGAACAGAACTAGGACCAATGGTTAGAAGTTAATGGGGAGCATATTTTATCTCAATATGAGAAAATTTTCTAACGATTAGAGCTATTAAATAAATTGAGTTGCCTTGTAAGACTGTAGGACTCTGCTCAGTGAAAGCATTCAAGTGCAGCTAGATGACTGCCTGTCATGAATTTAGCAGGGAGGATTATTACACTGGGAAGTCGGCCCAGGTTACCTCCATGTTTCCTTCCAACTTTTAGAACCCTATGAATATATGTTACCTATTAGAGCTAAGACACAAAAATAGATTTTACTTCAAAATCACCTGCAAATAGTACCTTAAGTAGTTTTATTTTAAAGTGATTTAAATTCACAATTTCCCCCTAATATACTTCTTTGTGTATTCAAATACATGGTACCTTATCAAATTCAACAAAGACATTTTGAACATAAAGTTTTAAGTGTCATAAGGGAAAAAAATCTTCCCAAAAAAAATCTTATGAAGATTTTCAAATGTTAGAAAACAATATTGTAGAAAGATTTCTGGTACATGGAATATTCTGTACAATGTAACAGATAACAGATGGAAAAGAAGGGGATAAAAAAGCACAATTTCTTTATGGTTACCCAAAGAGTCAGAGAATGTATGTGTCAGGAAGGTGGCTGATTGCTTGATTTTGCATAACCTAATTGAGATTATTATTATTTTTAAATGCGGGTTTGTTGTGCTAATTAACTATAAACATATGGTATGTAAAATGCATGCTGCTAGAGTAAATGAATGTACCTCTAACATATATCCATATTTCATAGCTTCATCCACACAAATAAACCTCCTGTGGAAGTGCAGTAAAGCAAACACAATTTTGCAAATTGCATATCACTGGTGATACACCATCTTCCCATCATTATCCCTGACATTTCGCTCACAATGAAGATGAGAGGCATTTTCAAATACAAAATTTCTCCCACGGAACTGATTAATGTGATGAAGTGCTGTATAGAAATGAGGGAAAGCATAAAATCTCTGCAATTCCGAACTTTTAATTTGATTCATGCACAAATGTCTTCCGTAACATGAGAGTGAAACAAGTTACAGGGAGGACCAAGACATTCAAGTCAGTAAGTGCTTGTTTTGTACCTACTGTGTCCCAGTATCATGGCAGGACTCAAGAGTTAAACAAGACAGAGGACCAGCATTCCCACACCTCCCTGAGGACTGTGCTCTATTTAGTTCCAGTGTTAATTTCACAAAGGTCCCAAGGGCCCTTTTTGGCTCCACCGACCAACTCCCATCATAGCAGTGAGTCCTTCAATCATAGTTCCCACGTCCTAAGTAACCTGATTTAAAATTCCACATCCACAAAGTAGTTATCAGTTAACATTGAGTTTCAAGAATTGTGGAATAATTTCCCAGATTTCTGACAAACTATCTTCTTTTTCAACTGTAAAACTAAGCTTGAAAAGGTTTCATATACAGGATGATTTTTAAAAGGATAGCTTTGACAAAAGCAAAGAGCTCTACTTTTTTTTTGAGCCAAAAATTTTATATGTTCATTTCTTGCATATGAAGTACTCTTCAATGATATCCTTGGCCTGAGATTCTTTGCCATAGTCCTTACTTTTAGTGCTCCAGACAAATGTCCCATGTTAAGAAGAAAGATGTTCAAAGTAGAAGTGAGGCCACGTAATTCAGACACGGTAACTGTAACACATGAACCCCACCCTACACTACCCCTGTGGCAGACATCTCTGATCAATCACTTGGTATTCGCAACAAATTCGGTAGAAATCATTACCAATTTCTTAGCCCTTTTCCCACCAATACAATGAATTGTAAAGTTATTCCCAATAAACTTGGGCTGGCAACAGTTCACCGAAGCGATAACGCCACTATTTCTAAAAGTTCCTTCCTAGATACATAGGCTGCTAAGGCAAGTGACGTGTAGTGGTTGCTCCACATTAACCTTTCATGTACTGTGTTAAAGGCTTTTCTTCTTTTGCCCCTCACTATTTTTTATTAGCATATAGCAGTTATACAGGGGATACACTGTGATACTTACACATGTGCTTACAATATATCTTAGCTAGATTTACCCCCTCCATTGTTCTTGCTCTTCCCTCCTCCCCCTTCTTAGAACAATTTCAGCAGGTTTCATTCTATTTTCATCTATGGATATAAAAATACATCGACCATATTCACCCTCATTCACCCTTTCCTTATGCCCACCTCCCTCCCACTGGTACCCAGCCCCAGAAAAGATCTGTTTTTCCCTTCTGCCCTTCATTTGTTTAAGTACTGATAGCCTAAGAAGGTTTCACCTTAGTACTTCAGGCCTGTACATATCATGCTTTAACCAAATTAATCCCTCATTACTTACTCTTTCTTTATCATCATGCTCCCCTAAGATTCAGCTGAGAGAAGATAACTCAAAATTGTCTTCTATGATTAAAAATATGAAAAAAAGTGTTTTCAATACTGAATGAAAATATTTGATCCCCAGCACTGAAAAAAAAAGCATGGAAATGAATACTTGCAAATTGTGATATTTGGTTTTTGGGGATAAAATCACAGGTAAGGTCTCTCCTTGGTCCCCTTGGTAACACTGTTTCTTTCAGAACTTCAAAATAATTTGGTGTATAACTTTAAGAGTAAACAGATCAGAATTGGTAGCTTGCAACAACTAGTGAAGACATTTACAATTCTAGGGCTGAAAAAACCCTACAGAAGGGCTAATCAATTACTCAGAAAATTCTAATAGAAAATGCCGTTACAAAATGAGGAAATAGTACCTACTTGTGACGACACAGTGATGGTGACATCTGGGCTGACATTAGAACTCAAGGAAACAAATAACTGAAGGACAGGGTGGGGCTTTTGTGGATTGTAGCCTCTCTTTTCATCTAAGGTATATGGAAAACACCACAGGCAGTACGGGAAGGAGGAGAAGGCTCACTCACATGCCTCCTCTTGGGTAAGCACACTCACACTCACACACCCAGAGCTTTCTCTGCCTCCACGGACACCCCACAGCACAAGGCACACCTCTCTTTACAGCTCAGTCATCCTCTGGGTGACACACAAGAGTACATGAGCATTCTACCAACCAGAAAGGGAAAGGAACTTCCTGCAGTCTCTGAACAGAGAAAACCCAAGTTTGTAACAATGGTCCCGGAGCTGCAAAATCTTCTGGTGATGATGAAGAGTTCAGAGTCAGCTGGAAGCCTGGGCAAATCTTTTCTCTTGGGGCTGTACACTCTGGTTTTATTTTAGTAGCTTCTTTTGGTATTCAATAATCTATATTTTTTTAAAAACACCCTATCTATTAGACATTTATGCACCATGGAACTAGGCTACATATGGTATAATTTTAGTAGTTAATACAACTCAAAGTTTTTAATTTACTAAAGTCAAAGGATAGCCTGATCAGAATATTTAAGCAGAACATCCATTCCCCAGCAATGCCAGAAAACAGAGTATCACTATACCTGGTAATCCAGCATGCAGAAGCCTGGAAAAAACTGACAAATGCGGGACTCAAAAAAATAAGGGAAAATCCAGAAAATGGGCAGTTCTTTGTGACTGTTATCTAATATCAAAAGAAAGAGAGAGAGAAAGAAAATAAGAACATATTAATGAAAAAATAAAGCAACTATAATTGAAAACTTTCTGTAGAAGTTTCTGGAAGAAACATCAATTCTTAGTACATTTACCTCACACAAAAAGAGAATGCTCGCTACAGTGACACTTCAATTTGACCTTTCCCAAAGGTCAATGGGAAATCTGTATCTCTAAAATGAAACACTGACTTTTACACTCTGATTAGTGTTCTTAAGAGCAGTAAATAAGCAAAATACTTAACAGTATGTTTTAGATTTCATTTGCATTGTGTCCCTAAAGCACACAAACACCTATGTGGAACAATTAACCGTGAAGCTGATCACACAACTCACAAGGTTGAAGCTGTATCTAAACAAAAAATGTACTGGCTAATTAGACAATTATATAAAGCACTTTGAAGTGTTAAGCTTAACCACAATCCCTACCAAAATCAAATATTTTACCTACAAGCCATCTAAAAAACCTTGAAATGAGTAATTCCCCCAATACATCAACCCACCTCTGGGTCTGGAATCTGTGTATCACTGACCATCACTACAAGCACACTGGATGCCTGACCTTCACACAAATCCTGGCAAAGTTCAGCGCTCTGGGCCTGAGCTGGGTATCCTCCTGGGGTTCTGGGTAAACACTTTAGGAACGGGGAATATAAGGACCTTCGGGCAGAAATATGTGTATGCTGCTCATTAATCTATTCCTAGTACCTAAACAGTATGAGCACATAGTAACCACTCAGTAAATATTTATTGAACAAATAACAACAGTGTACTGCTATTCTTCATTATGTCCCACATTCCCTACCAAAATCAAATATTTTATCTACAAGCCATCTAAAAAACCTGATTAGCATAATACAAAGTGTTCTGTGATAATGAAGTTTTGCCCCACCCTTCAACAAACTTGTGTTTGAAAAGAGAAGAGCCTGCCACGCATACGTTGTCTCAGTGCTGTAACAGGAAGGCACATGCATATATGCTTATTCTGTAGTAAGTAAAAAATTACACACCTTGGCTTTGACCTTCCTTCCACATAGCAATTAACTTCTTGAATGTGATAGCCAGAGGCTCAACCAAGCCACCAAAAGGGGGATCTGTCACCATAATGACTCTTTCACCTTTATCTTCCTGTAAGAACGCTCTGCACACCTCAAGGGCAGCCTGGAACAAATAAAAACTCATTGCTAAATTAGGACCAGAGAGAGGCACTCGTCCTACTTTGAGGAGAATGCATTAGACTTACTCCACACTTAATACTGGAAAAGTCCGAGTCATCTGCCACTGCAGAGTCTTGCAGTGACATCTCAAAGCCACTCTTAAGCCTCTTGTGTCAGATTTTATCTTTGGGTTCCTTGATAAGCAGGTTTCTTGAATTGCAAATTCAAACACCATCACTATCAGTCAACTACACATTTCATATGGTTAAATTAAAATACTAAATTTAGTGACCTAAAAGAAACTCATTACTCATGAAAACAACCTAAACTGTTCAGTTCAATGCAACAAACAGGAGCAGGGACAGTGCTAAACCCTTGGGACTCAAAGAGGAATAAGACACATTTTTTTTTCATATCTGGTTCGTACACCACCACAAATTCAGTATAATAACAGCCACAAATTACCAGTTAAGCACACACATATTTTTTGTTTCTTTGCTTTGTTTTGAGACAGTCTCTCACTATATTGCTCAGGCTAACCTGGAACTTACTAACTAGTCCAGGCTGGCCTCAAACATATCATTCTTCTGCCTCCACTTCCCAAGTGCTGGGATTACAGGCGTGTGCCCTCACACCTGGAAATGCACATTTTTGAGTATTAGGTAAATGTTAGACATATTTGAACTGGAACAGTAAATAAACAAAAGTTCACATTTGGCAAAGCTTATCCAGTCCATGAAAACACTATGCTACTAATACATTTTCCCAACAGGCTGATATAAATATTTTTAGTAAATTTTATAGTTAACATTTAGTAGGATGTTATCTTTTTTGTTTCAGGTGAAGTTAATGGGACATACTCCTATCAGAGTATCTCCAGTCCACTGACTTTGAAGTAGTCTTCAAGTTCTCATCTGCAAAAGTTAATCTATACCTTCAGTATACAAAAGGCACAAGATTTAAAGTTTATGGAATCTTAAACTTTAATAAGCCTATATGTACTTTATAATGAAATATACACTGTTCTAACACTAAGTCAATTTAGAAAACCCAACTAATGAGAAGGAAAAGTACGCCCTCCCAGCTCTTCCTCCCTCGGAAAAGTCCATACTAACCCAGGTTCGACTCCTGTGGCAGAGGGAACAAGTGTCAAAGCAGCACCTCTGCTGCCTGGCCCTTCCTCATCCTGCTTCCTCTGTGAAAAAGGATTCGAGGCACAAATGGTGACTGACTTGGAAACTCTTCAAGTTCCTTAGAGTAAAAAGTAGTAGAAAAAAGACAGTATATGAACTAACACTGCCCAAGCTCCTCGCTTGATTTAAAAAGCAGTATAGAGTATTTTTGCCAGGTGTGACTCAATGGCATGACTTGCTGAGGGTCCTAGTGTTGCCACCTGTGGGAAACAGAAGCTTGCTTGTGCCACCAATGTTTAGCACAACTTCACTCTCCCTTCGCCTCATCCTATGAGCCATCCTCTGTACTTACTTGAGCCACTTTCATCACCCACAAGACTAAGTGGTAAATTCCAGAGGTGGGAACTCGAATTATCCAAAGCACCCCACGCAGCCCATGGACACCGGGCCGATGCTGAGAGACTGATCAGCATGTGAAAAATCTCCACTGAAAAACCTGACTGGAGGAATGGGCAGAACAAGAGTAGGAGGATGGAGAAGTCGGCAGTCCTCTGCAGATCAGCCTTGAGTGCTACAGGCTATGCAGATGCCGCTGCTGAACAAAAAGGAAAGCCGCACTGGACCGCTGTTTTCCTTAGGCAGCTCAGGTGGGCTCACCCTCAGAAGCTTACTCTACCTGTATGCTAAAGACTTAGTCTAAGACAGCCTGTAAACTCTCACTAGGAAATGACTGGATTTCCTACAAAAAGCTGACATGTTACTTTTGAAAAGTGTATGCAATCAATAGTGAACAGGTATTTGAATGTAACTTTACCTTATTTTGTCTTTATTAGTAAAGTAAGAAGCAGGAATGGTTTGATATTACAAATGAACAACAAAAACCCTACTCCACTAATGCAGCACTAAGCAGTGGTGACAGAACCTGTTCAGCTCATCACCATGTGCGGCCATGCTGGACCCCCCAGGTCCATGCCCACAGCCCCAGACTTCACTTCCAAACCTCCCTGCCCTCTATTCCAAAGGATAAAATACAAAGACAGGCCCAGGACCAAGTCAGCACTGGCTTCTCCCCAGTAAACCTGTGACAAGTCTTTCCTCCCCATGGGGCAATGCATACAGAACCTACTTCCTACCTTTTTTTTCCCAGAGCATCATCCCAGCTGAGAAGTCTCTCATCATCCAATGAAAGTGATTCCCATCTCCCTGCTCTCCTCCACACTCCTCTAATCAGTTCTTAAACCTAGTGATGACCAACCACATAAACTCTTTGGGAAACCAGTGAAATACATCTAATTCTAACTGCTGTTGATTTCAATATTTGGCTTTAGGGGCTACCATGGCTGAGAAATATACATCCCAAAGATGAACTGATTCAAATGGAAGATGGGCTCCCAATCAAAAATTTAGTATTTGTTTTCCTTTCCTGAATGTTCACTTTTTTAGTCTTGTTGAGTTTTCATGCTGTTACTACCTAACATCTCAGAACACAGTATCTAGCTAAACATGGTTCACAATTTTTAAAAATTGATTTACATGCATATGTCTCTGGGCATCTTCCAAGCTGTCTTCAGGATAACTTCCAAATATTTTTGGCCAACCGCCTGTCAGATGGAATTATTACAGATTTTGTTTTGTAAAAAAAAATCTAATAAACTCAAACTAGGAACAGAAATACTAGTTCTGCTAAGTTGTTTATTCTCAGTGACTTATTAACATCACACCAAAAGAAGCTTTTTCCAAGCTACTGTCCTTTTTTTTTTTTAAGACCATATATATAGGTAGTGCTTTAGTTAGGGTCTCACACTTTTGCCCTAACCAGCAGATGGTGATCATTCTACCTCTGCCTCCTACATAGCTGGAACCACAGGTGTGTACCACCACACCCAGCCCAAAACTTCCTCATACATCCCCGCCCCCATTCATGTATTTAATTATAATAGTAAATCTATAAAAGAGACCTTAACCTTGTCAGAGGGTCAGGCGAAGCTGGAGGAAGTGACTTGGAACAGATATCTGAAAGCTAAGAAGCTATCAAGGCAAAGAAGCCAGGGAGAATAGCCCAGGCAAAGGCCCTGTGGTAGAAAGCCATTGGAGCAGTTGTAGGTACAAGCCATGAGCCTTGAGCACAAACAGGGAACAGAGAGGAAGGCAGTAGAGGTAATAGGGATCAGACCACACAGAGTCTCATGGGCCTTGCTAAGAAAGGCCTGAGTTCAATCCCAGTACTGGAAGCCAAAGATGAATTTGGTTTAGGGATGCAGCTCAAGTGGTATAGCATTTGCCTAGTAAGCACAAGGCCCTGAGATCAAACCCTCGTACTGGAAGGAAAAAAAGGCCAGACATGGTGGCTCAAGCTTGTAATCTTAGCTACTCAAGAGGCAGAAGGCAGAGATGAGGATTAAGGTTTGAGGCCAGCCCAGGCAAAAAGTTCACAAGAACCCATCTCAACCAATGGCTGGGCACAGTAACTCGCATCTGTCATCCCAGCTATTACGGGAAGTGCAAGTAGAAGGACCAAGGTCCAGGCTGGGCTGGGCATAAGGTAAGGCCCTATTCCAATAAACAACTAAGGCAAAAGGGGCTGGGGCTGTGACTTAGTGGTAAAAGCACCTGCCTAGCAAACCTGAAGCTCTGAGTTCAGATCCCAATCCTGCCAAAAAAGAAAAACAATGTAAAAGGAGTAACAGAATCACTTCTAGCTGCTCAGTAATCATTCAGTGAATGAACAAAAATAAATATCAACAAATGGTAGAAAAATAACAAGGTACTCTTGAATTTGTTATTCTACAATTAGAGAAGTTAATAGTCATAATTCTTACCTTTCCATCAAAGAAATGATGGTTAAACATGTTATAATGGCAAAAGCTATCTTCCATATAAAACTGTGAATACCTGTAAAATAATTCATTACTGGAGTTACTTGTCCTGTCACAGCCATACAATAAATATAATCTGTGGATTACAAAATCACAAGTTATAAAATAAATTTCACCATTCTTCACCTTTTGAAACAGAGACCTCTTTCCAAAAATTTCAAGGAATCTATAATAATTAATATAGAATTTAAATTACTTTCCCATGTTTAGTAAACCAATGGCAAAACTACAGAATACTCATATAAAACAGACATGTTCCTATGGACCAGAAAACTATTAATAAACAAGCAGGGTACTGACTTATGCAACTTAAGCGTGCAGTGGATTGGCAATTTAAATAGATCGCTTATGGTTAATAATTCCAAAGAAAATATGAAATCAACATTTCTGCTCAACAGCTGTTAATTATTTTGCTCTAAAGAAAAGCATTTAATGCAAGGTTTTTCTTGTCTAATACAGATGATCAGTTTAATAAAATATGATTCTCAATATAAGAGAAAAAGAAATGTAGACATTTCATGCTTGCTGAATTACTGCCAGGAAAGAGGGATACTTATTTACTAAATGAACTATTATTTTACTCTTCTATGCCACTTTAAAACATCATCAGAAAGGAATGAGTGCCAGCTTTGAGTATTAACATTGTATACATTTTTGCTAATTATGAGGCATACCACATCGTGAATGGAATTTGCATTTAGTTGACTACTTATAGACCTCAGTTATGTCTATATTCTGACTGCCTGTCTGTATGTCTACCACATTTATGTAAATGGGCCTTAATATTTATGTTGCTAATTTCTGAGTTTTTCACACAGTGTAGACACTTGGTTATCGCGACAGAATTTTGAGCTTTATCTACTGCATTATAAATAATTCACACATGAACCACATTGTCCTTGGAAAGACTGAAAAAGTCAGGGACACACCCTCTTTTATATGGCCTCCTGGACTGAATCATGGCAGTGGCACTTCTTTGCTACTCTCAGTTATCATCTCCCGTCTGTAAATGACCGATCATCCTCAGTGAGTATTCCACACTGTGGCAGCCCTGGTTCATCCTCTTCCAGGTACACTGTGGCTAAGAGCACAGCTCCACAGTTAGAGGGTCTGCTTTCAAACTTGGGATCGCTCACTTACACACTAATTATATAACTCTTCTGAGTCTCAGTTTCTTCATCTACAAAATGGGAAAAATACTAGTTTCTACCTCATAGAACTTCATAGAGTAAGTGAGATATGTGAGTAAAGTGTTTCATACAATGCCAGTTACATAGTGTATACTGAAATGTTAAGTGCTATTTTTTAATAACAGTCATAAATATTTATATCTTAATGCCCCTAATATTAGAGTTACATTTCTGTTGATCAAAATATAATCTAATGCTATTTCTTCTTGCTCTGTTACCCATTCTTAGTACAGTATCCTTTCATACATATCATTTCATAACATGAATAAGCTTTCATGTTAAGAGCATCACTTAAGATGCTCTTAACATGTTATCTGATTTAAAAAAACATTAATTTGCACTAAAGAAATAAAAGGCTTAGAGAACTTAAAAACACTTATACCACATATTTTACCTTAATGAACATTTCAAAAATCATGGAGGGATTTTTGAAATCCCTGCCATCGTAAATAAATATATCTTCCTATTTAACTAAAAAAAAATGTTTTTTGAGGTAGGGTCTTGTTATGCAGCCCAAGCTAGGCTTGAACTTGCTATCCTCCTGTCTCTGCCTCCCAAGGGCTGGGATAACATCTGTGTGCCGGGTGCCACCACGTTCAAATTTTGAATAACTGATTTTTTAAAAAGCACATCAATATTAGCACAGCTGTGGATCTATACAATTTGAGGGTGTTCTCTCTTGCATTTCTTTATAAGGAAAATACAATTCCCTTTTAATCGAATCTCCAACTTTTCATTGCTTCACAGACACAAGTAATTTCTGAAAATTAAAAAAGAAAATTTGATTTACATAAAACTCAGCACAGCACACCTGTCCACAACATTCTGGGCAGCAGTGTGCAGAGCTAGAGAGAGAAAAAGCCAAGATTTCAGTTCCAAGTCTCCATCAAATACAAACAAGGAAGCATAATTATTCATATTTTAAATTATAAAAGAGAATCACTCATTACTGCCCTCTTAAAATGAAATTGGCCACAAAGAATTGTCCTCTCCATTGAATAAAGCAAACAAAACCAATCAGAGAAGCATGCACTTGAAAACTGCTCAAAAGGACATTCATTTAATTGGCCATTCATTCTCCTTAAATAAGAGTCAGTTACCACGTGTGAAACATGCTCTATCCACAGGAAATGCAATCAAGAGTTGAATAAAATTAGTTCACAAAATGAACCTAAAAAATTCATTTTTGATATAACTTTATTTGGATAACAGTTTGCCAAATAGAGTTTCACATCTTTCATGCTAAAATTAGAACATACAGAAATGCAGCAGAGCAAATGTTAACTTCACATGGTATACCCCGAAAGGATATTTATAGCACTTCTACAAGAAAAGAGGAGTTGAGGCAGTTCTGCTGCCTAGGGCTTAAAAAGGAAACAAGTCAAACTGCAAAAGTAACTACCCAGTGCCCCTCTATACAAAGGAAATAAGTCCTGTTTAACTGTGAGCAATGTGAAGCACTCACTCCAAATACAGGCAATGGCTGAAGCTTGCTCTGGCCGCTACTGTGTTTCAACAAACCAGCTCCTCTGAAAACCTAGTGTTGACCTTCTACAAAAGTGAATCTGTTAGACTCTGTTATCAAAGAAACTAAGCTACAATGTCCCCAAGAGAACACCATCGACTTTGTTTCCAACCCACACACAGAAGTTAATAGACATGAAAAGAAAATAAGCATCAATACAAAGAAATCCCCCCTTATCCACAGAGGATGCATTCCAAGATCCCCAGAAATTAAAGAAGACCTAAATAAATGGAAAACATCTCATGTTCATGAACTGGAAGACTTAATATTAAGATGCTTAATACTCCTCAAACTAATCTAAAAATTCACTGCAATCCCTATAAAAATCCCAGCTGGCTTTTTTTTGCAGAAATTGACAAGCTGATCCTAAAATTCACATAGACATGTAAGAAATCCTAAGAATAGCCAAAATGATCTTGAAAAAGAAAAGCGAAGTTGTAAATCTCAAACTTCCCAGTTTCCAAATCTCCTATGAAGCAAGGTGATCAAGATGATGGGGATCAGCATGACGACAAGACATGGTTTGATGGGACAGACTTGAGAGTCCAGAAATAAATCCATACACTTACAGTCACTTGGTTTCCAATAAGGCACCATGACAATTCAATGAGAAAAGAATAGTCTTTTCAATAAATGGTGCCAGAACAGCTGGACACCCACCTGCAAAAGCATGAAGGTGGACTCATACCACATACAAAAAATAGATCAAAGACCTAAATATAAGGGTAAGAATTATAAAAATCCTTTTGAGAAAACATAGATGTAAATATTTGTGATCTTGGATTACATAAATTTCTTGGATTTGACACCTAAAACACAATCAACCAAAGAAAAATGAGAAAAACTGGACTTCATCAAAAGTGCAAAGACAACCAGGCACCGGAGACTCACGCCTATAATCCTAGCTTCTCAGGAGGCAGAGATTAAGAGGATCACAGTTAGAAGCCAGCATGGACAAACAGTACCCAAGACCTTACCTCCAAACACCCAGCACAATAAAAGGGCTGATGGAATGGCTCAAGTGGTAGAGTGCCTGCTTGGCAAGGGTGAGGCCCTGAGTTTAAACCCCGATGCACAAAAAAAAAAAAAAAAAGACAGTTTCTCTATTGGTGGAGTGGCTCAAGTGGTAAAAGCGCCTAGCAAATGTGAAGGCCTGAGTTCAAACCCCAGCACTTCCCAAAAAACAAAACAAAACAAAAAATCCACACACATACACATTTATCTTCTTATGTTTACAAAAGAAAACACTGCAAGAATAAACCTGAAAATGATCAAGGCCACCCACAAGCATTAAAAAAAAAAGTGCAAAGACAACCCACAGACAGGAGAAAATATTTATAAATAATAAATCTGATGAAGATCTAGTATCCAGAATATATTAAGAACTCTCTCAATTCAACGGTAAGAACATAAAGAAGTCAGGCACCAGTGGCTCATGCCTATAATCCTAGCTACTCAGGAGCAGAGATCAGGAGGATAATGGTTCGAAGCCGGCCTAGGCAAATACTTCCACGAAACCCTATCTTGAAAAACCTTTCACAAAAAAGGGCTGGTGGAGTGGCTCAAGGTGAAGGTCCTGAGTTCAAGCCCCAGTACTGCCAAAAAAAAAAAAAAAAAAAGAACATAAATAACAAAATACAGTGGGCAAAGGGTCAAATAAACATTCCTGTAAAAAGGTAAAGAAGTGGCCCAAAAGCACATGAAAAAAATACTCAACATCATCAGCCATCAGAAAAATGGAAAACAAAACCACAATGAGCCATCATTTCAAAAAGACAGCAATAGTAACTATTGGCATCTACTACCACTATCTCCTGCGCACAGTGAGGGCTCAGGAACTGGGATGGGCAGTGACTCTGGCCTAGCCAATCAGAGCTCTCCTAGGAGTTGCATGACTGGAGCTCTTGGCTAAGACACCTCTTTCCACTGCACACTGATGCTGAGACTGGATAAGCTTAACACTGCTGGCACCAAAGTCCCCACCAGTACCAAGGAACTATCTGAGGACCCAGGCCCATCTTCAAAGGAAGATGGAGCCCTAACAACATGGTGCAAGGCCTCAGATTGAGAGTGGATCAAGGCCTGCTGTATCCTAAACTCCAGTACAGTGAGCCAATACATTCTTTACATGAACAGGTTTCTAGGACTCCAATAAAACATTCCCAATCAATATGGGTGTCTCCTTCTAACTATATAAATAACCTGCAGCCAGCTATTGATTCAGAAAACTTTTGTGAATAAGGAAGGAAGACAGAGGGAGAAAGGGAAAGACAGAAAGATGAAGAGAGAAAAGGACCATATAAGAAAGGCTTACATATAAGTTCAAAAGCAAAGTTATTTCCAGAGGATATATTAATTTGGAGTTAGACTGCCTGAATTTTGCTGACAGTGGTTAAATTATTCACTTCTTTGAGCCTCAGGTTACTCATCTGCAGGAGCATCTGTCTTACAGAACCACAGTGAAGAAGTTAGGACAAACACAGAAAAATGCCAGCTACTGTTAATACTGACATAAGACCCCAAAAAGTAAACTTCTACCTTTAAAAATAATGCATTTATGTTGATAATATTTTAGGCCAGAAATACAGAATTTTAAAAGAGAAACTGATATAGCCATACAAAAATATTAAACAGCCATAAAAGGAATGAAATATATATGCTATGACATGTGTAAGCTGAAAACATTATGCTAACCAGAAGAAGCCAGACACAAAGGTCACATATTGAGTGACTACATTTATACATAATGCCCAGGACAGGCAAATCCATGCAGACAGAAAGTGGCTGTCAGCAATGGTGACTATGAGGTTTCTTTTCAGTGTGACAGAGATGTTTAGGAAGCAGATGGTGGAGATAGATGGTTGCACAACACACTCAATATCCACCAAAAACCTGAAATACAAACTTCAAAATGGTGACTATAAAGTGATTTATTTCTCAGCTTAAAAAAGAACTGAGCTCTCTTTGGAAATAGATCTGTGTTATCATTTTGCCAAAATTCACTCATGTCAAGCAGATGTCAACTGTGTAACTCCTGTAACAAGGTACAGACAATCAACAGGCTAGTCTTGTTAATAAGGAATGAGAAAAGTCCAAGTACTTTCTGAGGAAAATAGACCCCATAAAGTTGACCTAGAAAATCTGAAGAAAAATAAATTCTAAAAGCTATACTTTTGTGTGTGTGTGGTACCAGGGTTTGTATTCATGGCCTACACCTTGAACCACTCCACCAGCCCTTTTTTTGGTAATTTTTTTTTTTTTTTTTTTTTTTTTTGAGATAGGGTCTTGCAGCTTATTTGCTCAGGCTGGCTTCAAACTGTGACCCTCCTGATCTCTGCCTTCTGAATGGCTAGGATTATAGATACGAGCCGCCAGCACCTGACTAAAAGCTATACTTCCTAATGTAACATTTTACATTTAAAAAATCTGTCTGCCTTGTTTTTAGGGAAAGAAAGCGTATTTAATTTCATAGATTATCTCCAACAGATACTAAATATTGGCCAGAGTTTATCAGATCTAAATAAAAACAAAGCTTGATTTCTAGTAAACTGAAGAACATGTAAGAGATCCTAAGAACAAACTACCTTATAAAGTTACCATGAACTCCTGAAAGTCAAACAATTATAGAAACGAGGAAGAATATTTTAACTCTACAGACTTCTAGAGAGAGTGGAGCCACAAGTGCCATCAGTATTGTAAATCAAAGATCTACATCTTCTAATTATCACTGGAAGGGAGCCTGAGTTTCAGCCCTCACTGTCTCAACTGTCTGTACCAACACATCAGATGCATGTGACCCTCAGAGTCTCCCCCACAGCTCTTCTGTTTGCTGGACCTGTCTATCCCCTAGTTAGCATTCCCCTGACTTCTGGCTGCATCCAGGCAAACACTATGCATATCACCTGGTGAAACAAATTTTAAGTATGTCTTCTCACACTGCAGAATCTGCAGATGAAACAAAGACCCAGAAACCTGATTAAGCATGAGGTAGTTCAGTTTATCTTTGAACTTAGCACATAAGAAGAAATTCCATTCAATAGGAATTCATCTCTAAGTTCTAAGTCACAGACAACTAGACATATTTACAGAGAAAACTCAGGAAGCACATTAGCAAAAGAGACCCATTGCCCTGTTTGAAATGCTGAGTTCACACAACTGAAAAGGTGCTCATAATCTACAACTACTTCTAAAGTTCACTAAAAAGTTATCACAAATTACAAATAATTAAGAGAAAAACATACAAAGAAACAAAGGACAATAAATATTATATTTTGTAAACCTACCGAAAATCAATATCCAATAAAAGACTTTTAATATTAGACTTCTTGTCTCCTGGTGCTGTCAACCTGATCAGCTCATGCAACCTAAAGCAATTAGTGAAAGCAAATTTAATATGAAATTACAAATGTCATAGACAATAAACAAACAAACAACAAAATCTATCTATGTTTTACTGATATCTCTGTTACTTCAATGAAATACTGAAGAGAATTTAGCAGGGATAACCAAGGTTTCAGTTTTGCAAATAGTTTTAAAAGGGCAGAACTTATCTGAAGTGGCAAAGTCTAATATTATTTTTAAAAAATAAATAAATAGGTCTTGGCCACACATGGTGGCTCATGACTGCAATTGCAGCTACTTGGGAGGTGGAGATTGAAAAGATCACAATTTGAGGCCAGCCAAGAAAAAGGCATTGAGACCCCATCTAACTAACAACAAAAAGCAGTCATGTGTGGTGGTTCACAGCTGTAATCCTAGCTATGCAGGAGTCACAGTAAAAGGCTGGCCCAGGGCAAAAGGCATGAGACCCACCCTAAAAAATAATGAAAGCAGAAAAGGGGTGGGGCATGACTCAAGTGGCAATATGCCTGTCTAGCAGGTGCGATGTCCAGAGTTCAAACTCTTATACTGCCAAAAAAATAAAGACAAGAAAGTACATAACATACCTTGGTGTTCCAACACACAGTACTCTTCTGAATCCAAGGGTGGAAAGAAGATCTACCAAGAACTGACAGCTCCTATCAGCAAACAGATACTGTGCATGTGTCTTCTTGTTTTCCAGTGGGTAAAGGAGCTGACTAGGCCTTCTTAGCTGGGTGACAGAAATATCACCCACCAGGTGATGCTTGCGATGCTCCCCCCAGTCCTCTGGTAGCAGCAACTGCTGACATCTTCGACAGAACTTTCTCTGAGCCAAGGGCAACTCAATGAACCTCAGGTACCTTCAAAACACAGCACAACACCAGGTAGCACAGTTTAACTTTGTTGTTTTAAAGACAATGTATTTCTCTATTTTGAGTATCCAAAATTATCCTTACTTCCTAAAGAGTACTGCATAAAGAAGCAAAGGTAAGGAAAGTCCATAGGCCGTTGTTGGCTAGAATTGATGTCTAGCCATATACTTACCAAGTGGAAAAGAATCAGCAATTTTGTAAGAATTGAGATGCCCCAATTTAGTCACTGAATGAAGATCAATATCTATTTAAGATGTGAATATAATATATTAAACAACTTGGTAGTAATGGCAACTACTAGCTCGTTTAAATTTATGGACAGATGCATGTGCTGTAACTTTGATGTGTTAAACAGTCTGGCTCAGTTGACAGTCATTTTAAATGAGAAATTAAGATCATTCTTCAAGTTCTTATGGCTTACTTAGCAAGAGAAATTACCTCCTAAAAGAAAAGATGTTCCTCCAGCGCGCCTCTGCTCTTAGGAATTCTGATGGAATGACAGAAGCTCACCCCAGGACAGCAGGCAACATTCAAAGCCTTTACAAAGAGTACACTGAACTGGGTGTGATGGTGCACACCTATAAACCTAGCACTGGGGTGGTTGCAGATTTATCAATAGTTTGAGGCCAGCCTGGGCTCCATGGCAAGATCCTGTCAAAACAAGATTATGTTGGATACCCCTTTTGTTTTCTTTCAAATTACCCTGAGATCTGACTTGAAAATCACCACTTTTTTTTTTCTGATTTCATTTTACTAGAGATTATTGAAGGGAGAAAATAAATGAGGTCAGTATGTCTTAAAAGTATGAAATCAGAATAAGAGCACAAAAGAAAAATGAAAAAGGTCACTGAGGACTAAGGATGATCAAAAATGTCTAAGTCCAAGTGTTTAAAGAGTGCACTAAAGGATTCCTACAGTTTGACAGAAATTCAACAGTTTCAATGGAACTAAACTTGTGAACTGCAATGTAAAAACTGTAAACAAGGAATTGAGTGAGTATTAAACCTTTTCCCAGCTAAGCACAGTTTCACTTCAAAGCACCACAGCAGTGCCAAGCAGATATGTGGTGGCTACAGCAAGAAACCAGCAATCCTGCCAGTAAATTGAATGTTTCTGTTTCTATGATAATTATTCCATGACTAGAAAGAAAAAGAAGAGAGCCAGATAGATATCAGAAAAAACTTCTTGGTAATTCACTGGAATGGCAGTTAGGAAAGGGCCCCTTAGGAAAGCAACCTTAAGACACAAAACCAAGTAGAAAGGATCACAGACCCTTCTCAGCCACGGAAGCACGAATGTCACTATCACCGTTCTTCACTGAAAGTGAAATACTGGAGATTTCCACACCCAGCCTGGACACAGTAACAGAAGCCAGCTTTACCATCCTGCACACCATCCCCCCGCCGCCATTTTAAACAGACAGAATATATGAAGCAACAGCTTTAAGATACTGGACAACTGGTAGCCCAAAACAGGACCCCTGAAGGAAAGGAACAGATGACATGAGCTGACAACTGTCCAGCTTACTACCCATGCAGAGCTCCACAGGGACAGGAAACCCAACAGGGCTTAGTGGACTGAGGTGGCAAACTGAGAAATGGGGAAGGCTAAGGCAGCTACAATTCCAGGCAGAGTACAGGGGGAGTAGAAAGCTGTCTGCTGAGAGAGGAAACGGGTGGTGGTGGGCAGCAAAGCATTTTAAGCTGAGGATTCTCCTCATGTCTTTAACTGAGTACTGATCAGCACAGGTGGTAAAGAAACTATGCCAGGTGTGGTGGCTCATCCTTGTAATCCCAGCTACATGGGAGGCCTGGAGGATTGGAGTTTGAGGCCAGCCCAGGCAAAAAAAGATAGAAAGACCCTATCTCAAAAACAAGCCAGGTACCTGTAATCCCAGCTATGCCGGAGGTGTAGATAGGAGGATCACAGTTCTAGGCTAAAAAGGGCTGGGTGTGGAATAATCACCAGGGTATATGCACAGAGCCCAGAATAGTTTGTCTACCAACAAGCCAAAGTGGCAAAACCTCAAAACACAGAGTACTCTGCCTTAGTAGTGTGCTCTGTCCTGTCTAAAACACTCAAAAACAAGCTGGGTCAGCACACTTTTTCTGTAAAGGATCAGTTAGTTTGCCAGATAGACCCTGTTCGAGAATGCCAAACCACAGCCAGGTCCCAGAACAAAGAGCTCCAGAACAAAGCTCAAAAATACGTAAAGGGATAGAGTATCTAGTGTGGAACAGAGTATCCAGTATACTCAGTCTGTCTAGTGTATGACCAAGTAAGACTCACACTGCCAGCACCCAATCCAAATTACCAGGCAAACAAGCAGGAAAATGTGACCGTGATTATGGAAAAAGACAAAATCAATCCAAGTCAGCTCAGAAATGACCAATGATATTATAATAAGTAAACAGAAACTTATTATAACTAAACCTGTGTGTTCAAGAAGGCAGAGGAAGACATGAGACTGTTAAGTAAAGATACGGAGGGTTGGGGTGGCACTCAGCTGTAGAGCATGTGCTTATTTGCTTATTATCTTATTAGTGAGGCCCTGGCTTCCTTTCCCAGACAAAGGAGAAAAAAAAATTTTTTAAGACATAGTAAACATTTAAAAATTGAAGATTTTTAAAAATTGTCTCAAACAAACAAGAACCCAGAGGGGAAAAGCAACATTTTGATAAGAACAAAGATAAGGAACAAAGGAACAAAGATAAGACTGATATCAGGTTTCTCACTGGAAACAAGGCAATCAAAAAGACAGCCAGCAGACAGCAAAGCCACACCAAGTCACACGTCCTTCCAGATTCCAGACACTCGAGGAGGGATCACTTCCCAGTTCATTTTGTAATGCCAGTATTGCTACAATACCAAAAGCAGAAAGAAAGAAAAACATTATCAGAAAACTACAGAATTAACAAAATTTTAGCAAATCAACATCAGAAATATATTTGTATATCACAACTACTATGGCTTGGATATGAAGTGTCCCCAAAATGTCCACATGTTAAAGACTTGCACCCCAGCTGGTGATCCAATAGTTGAGAAGTGATTGGATAATGAGGGCTCCGACCTCAAGAGCGGATTCACTGATGGACTTGTCACTGATGACATTAATGGGAACCACTGGAAACTTTGGGAGACGGGCCTGGTTGGAGGAAGCAAGTACCGTAGTCTTGAGGCCAGCTATATCTTATATTCTGCCTTTTCTTTGCGTTTAGCTTCCTGGTTGCCATGAGGAGCAGCCTGTAACACATGCCCTGGCCCCAAAATATTCTGCCTTGCCTCAGGCCCAGAGCATCAGACTCAGGCAACCTGGTATTAAAATCGCTGAAACCAGAAGGCAAAATAAATCTTTCTACCCTTAAGCTGTTTTTCTGGTTTTTTGCTACTTTTGTTTTGTTTCTGAGTACTGGGGGTTGAATTCAGGGCTCCTCACTTATTGGGGAGGCGCTCTACTGCTTGAGCCATGCCCCTAGCCATTTTTGCTCCGGTTATTCTGGAGAAAGGCTTTGGTTTTTTTGTCTAGGCCAACCCAGACTGCAACCTTCCCACTTACGCTTTCTGCTGTAGCTGGGATGACATTTACGCACAACTGCCCAGCTATTAGTTAAGATGTGGTCTTGTGAACTCTTTTGCCTGGGCTAGCATCAAATAATGACTCTCCTAATCTCTACTTCCTGAGTAGCTAGGATTACAGGTGTGAGCCACCAGCTTGTTTCTCTCAGCTGTTTAGTCACAGCAAAAAGAAGTCTGACTAACACAATGATCATGAATGCAAGGTTGCTTTAATGTTTGAAGTCAATCAATAATTCTCCATATTAATAGTCTTAAAAAAAATCATTGCACCAGATGCAGAAAAGAGCAGTTGACAAAACCAAACATCCAATAATGGTAAAGATTCACAAAGTAGGGATAGAAGAAAAACCTGTGGCTAACATCGTATTGATGAAAGACCAAATGCGCTGCCTCTACACTGGGCACAAATCAAAGATGTTCATTCTTACCCTCTCTACTCAACATTCACTAGGATTTCTAACCGCAAAATACAGAGGCTGGTGGCATGGCTCAAGTGGCAGGGACCTGAGTTCCAATCCCAGTACTTCTAAAAAAAGAAAAAGGCATAAATTGGAAAGGAAACATTAAAAGTTCTTTAATCACAGAGGACATAACCATGTATATATAAAGTCCTAAGGAAATCTTCAAAAAAGCTGCTAGATCTAGTAAATAAGCTTACCAAGGCTGAAGAATAAAAGAACAATATATGGATCAACTGTACTATTATTGACTAGTGACAGACAATTAGAAACCAAAATTTAAAATAGTATTAAAAACATGAAATACTTAGGATAAATGTGGCAAAAGATGTGCAATCCCAGTATACTGAAAATTACAAAATATCACAGAAGAAAATTAAAGATGAGTTTGTAACTGGAGAGAGAAGCCATGAAGAAAATTCAGTATTATTAAGATGTCGATTCTCCCAAATTCATCTATAAAATCAACACAATCTCAGTCAAAATTCCAACAGGCCTTTTTGTAGAAACTAAACTAAAACACTCATTCTAAAATTCATATGTGTATAGAAGGACCTAGAATAGTCAGAATGCTTTGAAAATAAAGGACAAAACTAGAAGACTTACACTACCTGATCTCAAGAAGACTTCCCATAAAATCACAATAATAAAAATGATGATATTTATGTATGTATATATATATATATTTATATATACATATATATATGTATATTATATATATATATATGTTGTGTGTGTGTGTTCATTTGCCATAGAAACAGAACAAAAGCACAGAAAAGAGCCTCAGAAACACGGTCAACTAGCTTTTTACATAGGCGCTGTATCCAGCTAAACATAAGCCCCTGTTCCCCATCAAAGATGTCTACACCCTCATTTAGAATTTTTCAGTACCTTATATGACAAAAGAGACTTTGCGGAACGTGATTAAGTCATAGACCTAAGTCTAGACCTAAA